AAAAAAAAAAAAAAAAAAACCAACCTAAAAAAAAAGAGTGGCTTCTCTCTTCTATCAGCTATATAGAGATTCCACATGTGATCTATCTTAAGTCTACAGTCATTCACAATAATCAGGTGGTGAGCAGGGTTCTAATCCCTTTTTTACTTTGAGCTTATTTAAAACACTTTAAAAATTATTTTAAAAAAGAACTTAAAAAATAACAAAAGCCATCATCTCAACAAATTTTTCTTTGGTAGGACTGGGGTTTGAACTCAGGGTTTCACATTTACAAAGCAAGTGCTCTACCACTTGAGCCACATCTATAGCCCATTTTGCTCTAGTTTTTAGAGACAGTGTCTCTGGAACCTCAGTCTTCCTGATCTCTGCTTCCCAAGTAGCTAGGATTATAGGCATGAGCCACTGGCACCTGCCTATGACTCTGACTTGCCTTTCCCCAGCTCCTGGCAACCACCTTTCTTTTCTGTCTCTATGACTCTGACTACTCAAGGTAACTCATACAAGTTACAGTACTTGAATGAGTATCAAATTGCTAATACTGGCCACCACCACAAAGGCATTCTTCTGGGTCTACCTTGTCACTGTACTTCTGCTGACCTGGGGTAAACCTCACTGTAAAGCAAAGTCTCTGATCTCTGGATGACCATTTCTTTGAGGGACTCACCTACCATTAAGCTGAAAGTTCAGAATGGACCAGGCCTCAGGAGAAAATGTGTCATGATGGTCTGGGTTGACTGGGAACAAATTACTTGTGTTGGATGTTTGCTATGTACACTCAGATATACTAAAAAACAAGAAAATTTATTCTGAAATCACTCTGGATCATTCATCAAACTGAAAAACACTCAGAACTTTTAGATTGGCCTTGGCAATTCTATGGCAACTCCTGCTTCAGGGCAGGATTGCTCAATCTGGGGATCACTGACATTTGAGGTGAGTTTTTTTGGGGGGTGCTATACATTTGTAGGAAGTGTAACAGCATCCTTGGCCTATATCCACTAGATGTTAGTAGTACCCTGGCATCCAAGTTGTCACAACCAAAAATGTCTTCAGATAGTCGGATATTCTCTAGCAGACAAAAACCGCTCTCAGTTGAGGATCATTACTTCAGGAGGATGGAGAAAAGGCAGTGCTGGGAGTGGTGAGGCACATCAGTATTCCCAGTAATTAGGAGGGTGGACCAGTTTGAGGCCAGACTGAGATACAAAGCCTAACCCCATCTCAAAAAAAGTATTATTAAATACAATCCATAGAACAGAATCAGAGGGCAGGCTGTGGTGGCTCATGCTTGGAACCCCAGCTATGTGGGAGGTGGAGATAGGAAGATCATGGTTCAAGTCCAGCTCAGGCAAAAAGTCAGTGAGACCCTGTCTCAAAAATAAGCTGAATATGGTGGTGCACACCTGAAATCTCAACTACTCAGGAGGCGAAAATAGCAGGATTGCAGATGGAGGCCAGTCTTGTGAACAAAATGAAACTCTATCTGAAAAATATCTTAAAGCAAAAAGAGCTGGGAAAATGGCTCAAGCAGAAGAGCACTTCCCTAGCAAGTGCAAGGCCCAGAGCTCAAGCCCCAGAGCTCAAGCCCCAGTACCACAAATAAATAAAATTAAAGATACAGAAAACAAAGATTGAAAGGTAATATGAAAAATACCATGTGTATTATGAAGTAATATACTAATACTCAGTTCTATTTAGTATAAATGCTATTCTAAATTAATACTTATGCACTTGCATTTATAAACAGATCTGGCCTGGTAATATTCTAGTCTTTTACTATATGATAAAACATGATGGCAAAAAGTCATTTTGATCTAAGATTTGTAAGAAAAAAATATGAAGGAACACAGCAGATTAACTCCAAATTTGAAACTTACATTCAAACCATCTTACTTGAAATTGTCAGAAGTCTACTGACTTTGAACAGCAGAAGCACCTTTACTCTGGATGTGGTGTGCGAGTATGTCGTTCCTGAGACAGGGTCCCATTACATTGCTCAGGCCAGCCTCTATCTCTTGGGCTTAAGCTATTGCCTCCTACCTCAACCTCCCAAGAGCTGGGGCTGCAGATGCAGGCCACCCTATCTGCCTTTAATAGTCTTTTAATTAGTCCTCAGGAGTGCAATAAGTTAATGACAGTAGTTTGGAGAGAAAAACAGGAGAAAAAAATTTATAAACAGTAGCTTTTTTATGACCATCTTTTAACTTCTAATGACATCTAAATGTGTTTCTGGAATGAACAAATTAAAGGTATACCTCATATGGTGATTTGAATAATCAATAACTTTCTCAGTCTTAGCAACTGAAATCACAATATTTATTCATTTATCTACTTATGTGGTGCTGGAGACCGAACCCAAGGCCTTATGCATGCCAATAAGTGAGTGCTCTACCACTGCACCACATCCCCAGTCCTAATGACAGAATTTTCTTGTTTATATACACATTTGCTCTCATTTAGACAAACTGAACCATACTTCTCTGTTATGCAGATCATTTCTTGAGTGCCTGCTGTCTGATGCCAGGTGTTTGATCTAATTTGTCAGTATTATTCAGCTTGTCACTGTACTTAGTTGTCAACAGTAGTTCAAACAACACCTTAAAACAGAGGTCAAAATTAGGTCAATATTCTGATTCAAAATGGCTATAAAACATACTAAAGGTCATGGTACATAAAATACTACTCAAACAACTTCCATGTTTAAAATGCCTTTTCAATATACACATGCATTAGTAGCTCTGACATTGGACTGGTTGCTACTCCTGATCTTTTTGCCTCATATGCACTTATGGAATTCATGAGAACCCACTGATAACAAGACCTTTTAAAATTAAAAACCTATATAAGTGATTCATTACACAGGGAGACAGAAAAAGTTGGTATACATTCTCTTTTTCAAGTAATGTTATGTACAGTTTTATTGCCAGTATATGCACAACAGTAAGCATAGAGCTATAAATACACAATGTAATTAACAGTAGAAAACAAAACTGTTATAGGTAAGGGGGAGAGGACAAAGAAAATGTATTTTCTTGCTGCTAGAACAAAGGAAAGGAAAGCCTATGACAAATCATCCATTCAGTTCTCCTCTTAAATTCTTTACATACATTTCTACATTTTTTTCAATTAAACAAAGATAGTATAGGTAACTCTGAAACAGCAGCAAATTACTGCCTTAACAGCCATTTTCCCTTTCCAGTCAAATTCACTTTATGTTAAGATTAAAAAAGAAAAAAAAGGTCATGATGAGAAATCATTGTATCCTGGTTCCAAATGATCTAACTTGGTCTTTTACCTGGACTGGTGATGTTTGAAAGTTGGCTGCATGAGAAAAGAATAGGTTTAGCAAAAGGTGTTTAAAAACTTGTTAAAAGGTAACACAAAATCACCCTTTAAGCAGTTTTCCAAAAGACACTACAGGCAGCAGCTCAGTTAAAAGGATTAGCCCTGAAGAGGTAGAGAATTTGAGCC